AAAAAAATTGTTGTACATCTTTGAAAGATCTACAACCCTTTATTTTTTATTTGTTTTTCTGTTTTTGTTTTAGCCCTTGAAACAATTGTGTGAAACCCAAAAAAAAAACACTCATTTCATTTTTGTTTTTATTTTTTCATTGTGTGTTTATGTTTTTGATTTTTTTTTAATGTATTTAAACATCAAAAAATAAAAATAAAAATTATAGGGTTGTAGTTCTAAAAAAAAACTACAACTTCATATATATATATATTTTTTAATATAATTATCAACCCAAGAACAAAACTATCGCGAACCCCGTTAATCCGCGTTCAACGCGTGTTTGAATGAGAGTTTAACGCGAATTCAACGCACGTTGAATTTTTCAACGCGGAACCCGCGTTGAATTCAAAATTGGACACACATTCGTGCAGTACACTTAGTATGCGTTTGTGGTACACTTGCAATGCGGTCCGCTGCTTTTTGCTGTGAAAGTTGTTACATCGTCACGTCGCTAAGTCCCACACTTTGTATCGTTAGGCACAAGATTATGGTGGTCGCCTTAGTGGTTGCACGTTAGTCATAGTACTTTGCTGCTGCGTACACTCTGATTAAGAGCGTGGGAGTTACTGCTGCAGTTTTGGAGGGTGTCATCAGGGGACTGTTATTCCGCATCTTGGCCGTGAGTTGACAAAATTTCGCTGCGTTATTGAGCGGGGCTCTCAAGCGCATGAAGATTACAAGGCCCTCTCCCGTAAGTTGAGTTTGTCCCTCTCTTGTATCTCGAGCGTCTGAAACCCCTCCTTTTGCCTTTCTTACTCTAAGTCTAGTCTAAGGTTACGAGAGGAAGGCGGCAGGCGAGATTGCAACCCGTAGGACCGCAGTAAGACCTTGTGGGAGGTCCACCCACCGATTGTGGGAGCTCTGTCGGAGCCCAGGCGGGGTTCTGGAGCCAGGGAACACTCAGGTATAACGATCGTTTTACGTGTGTGATCCTATCCTTAAACTGTATTACCCTTTGCTATTGTGTGCCTGTTAGTATGACTAAGAAAGCTAATTGTCTTTGTTTGTTTTAAATTTAGGACATGATCTAAAAGGTAAAATTGACAAGTACTTATGATAAAGTCAAATTATCTGTGTGAATTCAGACAGAATGAGATTGTGACATCATTTGTTGTTATGTTGAGGAGGTTAGGCTTAGGCGAGCTCATAAGTTGCGGGCTGTTCGGCCACACGCACCTGTTGCTTGTTTAGGCAGAGCTAGACTACTCATGAGTTGAGTAGCCTGGTTCTACACTATATGTCATTGTATGGGTTGACTAGCCACACCATAAGTTGGTGTGGTCTAGTTATATGCCTTTCGTCGTTTGCCCAAACAAAAGTTGGACCCCTCATAAGTTGAGGTGGTTCAGTTCTTTATATATGCCGAATGATCAAGCTGACCAGCCTCACCATAAGTTGGTGCGGCCCGGTCATACTCCTTATGTCGATTGTCTAGGCAAAAACTGACCACACCATAAGTTGGTGTGGATCAGTCATATGCCTTATGTTACTTGTTTGGCAGGCTAGTCACACCATAAGTTGGTGTGACCAAGTCATGAGCCGCAAACATAAGTGAAACCTGAGTATACAATTTGATATAACTATATAGTATGTATATAATTGTCAGGTTGGACGCCATAAGTTGGGAGATCTGGCCATATAAGTCGGTAGCAGATAAAGCCGAGGAGGAAATAAGATTCAGAGTATAAAATTCAGTGGTACTTTGGGCAGGCTGACTCATCCATAAGTTGGGTAGTTGGTCATATGCCCCTGATAACACAAAAGCAGAGAGATATAAAGCCTGGTTATTTCTTTATCTAAACATAACCGATGTTTGGGTGGGGATCCTCATAAGTTGAGGTGACCTAACCACTCATATGAAGACATAAAATGATTGTGAATCTATTTATTGAATGTAGTTGTGCTGCGGAGGCTGAGCGAACGCATAAGTTGCAGGTTGTTCAGTCACACTCGCTTGTTGCTTGTTTAGGCGGGCTAGACTACTCATAAGTTGAGTAGTCTTGTTCTACACTATATGTCATCATGTGGGTTGGGTAGGTACATCATAAGTTTGTGTGTCCTGGTCATATGTCTTTCGTCGTTTGTTTAGGTAGAGGTTGGACCCCTCATAAGTTGAGGTGGCTCAATTATTTGTGTAAGCCGAAAGTCTAGGATGACCATCCTCACCATAAATTGGTGCGACCCGGTCATACGCCTTATGTCACTCGTTCAGGTAGAGGCTAATCACACCATAAGTTCGTGTGGTGAGTTCTATGCCTTATGTCTATTCGTTGAACATGGTTGTATTGCAAAGGCTGGGCAGACGCATAAGTTGCGGGTTGTTCGTCATTCTCGCATGTGGTTTTGGCTAGGCTGGGCTGGACTACTCAAAAGTTGGGTAGTTTGGTTCTATGCCATATGTCACTGTTTGGGCTGGCTAGGCACATCATAAGTTGATGTGTTCTAGTCATATGCCTTTGTCGTTTATTCAGGCTAAGGCTGGCCCCTCATAAGTTGAGGAGGTTCAGTTCTTTGTGTATGCCGAACATTCAGGCCGACCAGCCTTACCATAAGTTGGTGCGGCCCGGTCGTACGTCTTATGTCAACCGTGTAGGCAGAAACCGGTCACACCATAAGTTGGTGTGATCTGGTTTTATGCCCTACGTATACTTGTGCTACCAGACTAGGGCACCATGGTGCGGCCTAGTCATATAAATTGGCAGGTCAGTCACATCCATAAGTTGGGTTCGTTGATCCTATGTCTTATGTAAGGAAGGGTAAAAGGGAATAACAAGGGTTTTTGAACGAACTATGTGACCTGGAAATGAACCCGAGGGTTAGCGAGAGATGTTGTCACACTCACCTGTGTATCTCTTGGGGCTATCTCTAAGGACTTCTTTTTTTATAGGTTAGTTGCTTTATATGTTCGCTGAGTGTTGGAGCTATAACTAGGAGAGATATGATGATGGGAGGGAAAGTTGGGCTAAGATAGGACTGACCTTACTAGGAGTTAAGATCAGTGTTAGCTCACGATGTCATCCTCAAGAAAGGATCGTGCAGACTATCTCCGGTTCTAAATATCAGGTAAGTGTCGGGAGTTGGTCCCAAGTATAGTTATGTTTTATCTTTGCATTTTCAGCTTGGTATAAATCTTGGCAGTCTCCTGTTCCTAAGGGAAGCGCTGCCGAAATTTTTAGAAATTTGAAGGAGGTTCAAGAAGCTAGTCATTTTTGGACACCTGAAAATTATGAAAAGACACTTTTCCTACGGGAAGCGCTGCCGAAATTTTGTAAAGTTTGAAGAGTTAGATTATTTTCGGCTAGGAAGAATTTGACAATCAGCCATGTCTATGGGAGATGCTGCCGGAATTTTCAGAGTTTTTTTGGAAATGAGTGGAAGACAGTGAGGAAGAAAGTTAGTAGTGGAGTTAGGTCTCGATATGGAGCATGTTTTCCTTAAAGCATAATATTGGTTTGTTTTAGCCTGTACTATGATACAGGGCTGTGATTTCGATTGAAGGCTTGACTTGTTCGGCCTGATCCTACAGAGCATCATCTTCTGTTATCACTGATAACAGGTCGGTTGCTGATTCGTCGGTTTACGACACAACTTCCTTGCTTCTGCATCTTAACCTAAGGTCTTGGCTCTTGTGGGCTTTTATGTTTCTTAGGGTTTTTCACCCAAATTTCTTCTTAAGTGGCCATTTATAAAAGACTGAGTACCTTTATTTAAGGGATGGTGAAAATTGGTTGGGGCTTGTATGCACAAGGCAGGGTGTGAGTCGCAGAAATGCAGTAAAGTTGACCCCCTTAGTGTGTGTGATGTTGTTGTTTGAATTCTGTGCGATTGCAAGTATACTTATAAGATTCCTCGAATTGAGCTTGGTGATAGTCTGACTATTGTGTGAATGCAGATGGACAAGCAAGATTCCTTGAATTGAGCTTGGTGATAGTCTGACTATTGTGTGAATGCAGATGGACAAGCCACACAACTGTTGTGAGAGTGATCGTCTGATACCACACAAAACTTATGCTTGACTGTTTGAACTACCCTTGCTTAGCATAACTATAATGGTTGTGAGGAGTCCCACTATGATTGTGAGAAGTGATCGTCACATACCTATTCCCCACTGTAATGTTTGGGTGTTCACGTGGCCTGAGGGGCTTACGCTTAGGGGTTTCAGTGGGGTCGACACTGAAAAAGGAAGGAAACCCCCTTTATTGTGGTATGCTTCTTAAAGAGAATTCTTAGTGAGACGTTAGTCCCAAGCCTGGATTCGAGGTCCTTGTCCAGGGCATTCCAAGTCCTAGACTTTGTATGGAAGGGATCACCCCCCGCGCAGAGCCTAATTGCCCTACCCATCGGAACACTCAGCCTAAAAGCCGCACAACTGTACCTTCAACCGTGCAATATCGTGAAGGGGTGGACCTTCACGATACTTCGAGTTTGACACGTGAGTGTCATAAGTGGTACTCGAACCCACGAGGGACCGCTTGATTATGGGCACTACATAGTACTCCATCGTTGCGACTACATGCGTATGCTTGCATTGCTAGCCGAGTGAGAAAGGCCTAGCGACCGCGCGGTTTTATCTAGAGTCTCGCGCGTGACGTCTAACCGATTATCGTGTTAAAAGGTTATGGGTTGAACACTGAAGGAACTAGGAGAGTTTTGTTTTTGTGTGTATTTTAATTTTATTATGGTGTAACGCGTGGTGAGTGGATAGCGTCCTAGTTGACCGACGACGAGTCGTGCTTGGGACCTCAGCCCCCCAATGCGTCGATTCGCGTACGGGTCCGATTGAGGGGCGTTGACCGCGCGTAACCCCTATGCTACAGCGAACTAGAAACGCCCTCGGTCGGACCACCTATGCGATTGCATACAAAAAGTTTTCGCACGTGGTTCGGTAGATCGGCGGGGATACGCCCACTCAAGGGATGGTGATAGCCAGGGTTGTCAGGCGGGGCCCCCGGGGGCAAAGCCGGGGTAGGGGCTCGACCCCCGGACCCCCGCCGCCGGGGTGCCCCACCCACGCCCACCACAAAACACCCCCGCCGGCGCCCCGACAACCGCACCCCCGGACCCGACACCCGCACCCCCGCTGACCCGGGCCCCGAACCCCCGCC